TTGATTGGTTCGTTGTGTCTTTCGATTATCGATCCGTTCTGCTTTTCGTTGAAAGCAGACGACAAAAATGTCTTCGCAACTGCGCATGTGCGAAACTAGGTTTGTGGGTATAGGTGTGAAAGAGAAAGAGATAAGGAATGTTGAAAGGATAATATATATATATATATATATATATATATATATATATATATATGCTCCTGAAAAATTTATTTCAGTTGAGCTCTCTGGGGAGGAAGTGTGAGTTTGTAAACATCGACTATTACGGCTAATAATGCATGACTATTCAGTAAATTGAATCGAGTTCTCTCAGTCACTGCGTGTTTATCTAAAAATAAATACGCTTATACTGACCTTCATCCTTGCTGTGCGCCAACTACTTAGGAGTAGAATCTCCGACTGATGCCAAGTCATTCGGGTTTCAATCTTAGCTAGATCAACCTGGTGTCTAGCCACACTGATGAGCTGTGATACAGCGAAACAGTCTGTCTGTGGATGATATTATATATATATATATATATATATATATATATATATATATATATAAAGTGAACATAGAAGTCAATCACATAGAGGCCAGTCGATGCTAGACGCAATCGTCAGGCCTGACGATTGCGTCTAGGATGAAACAGACTGTCGCCTAAGTGTTGACATCTATGTTCACTTTTATATTTACACACGCTCTATCTCTGATATTGAGCACTTTATCCCATGAATATAGCACACCTTAAGACTATATTTCTTGATATATATATATATATTATAGTTTCAATAAAAAATAATTATACTGCTACGGTGACGTGTCCATAAAAAATGAATAAAAATAATTATAATGTCAAAAATAATTATAATAAAATAATTATACAATTATAATTATTAATTCTTTCATTATCAGACGATATGAAAAGAATTTGCATAAAATAGACAACACTTGTCTATTTAATATTTAATGAAATATATATATATATATATATATATATATATATATATATATATATATATATATATATATATATATATATATAGGCATCTCAGTCCCACCCTTTCACTGTCAAAGCGGTTAAATGTAACCGTCTCTTCTACTCAAACAGCTTCTTCTTCTGCACTTCCCGTCTGTGGGACTCCCTTCCTTTTACTTGCTTCTCCGATGACTATAATCTTTAAATATTCAAGTGTAATGTCAATCGACATCTGACACCCTGAGCTTGTTCCCGGTCCTTCTCTGTATCCTTTCCTCAAACACACCTCTTTACTCTTGTTCTCAATCCTCTATAACCCTTGCGTGCTTGTGGCAATCACGCCTTGCTTGGGGTGAATTGCCTTAAATACACACACACACACACACACATATATATATATATATGTATATGAAGAAATATAGTTTTTAGGTGTGCTATATTTATGGAATAATGTGCTCAATATTAGGGATAGAGCGTAAATAAACCTGAAGAGCCAGACAAACCTACCTAGGTTTCACCTACGTGGATCGTCAGGGCGGACAGGCTAAAGAGGTGCTATAAGAACAGAGAATATATAGCCTACAACACAAAAACATGACCATGTAACCAAAAAACAACTAAAAAAACAAAAAATGTTTTTGAATAAATAGGATTTACCACCCCGTCGTTGTGTTACTGCTTTTTTTTTTTTTTGACATTACATTTGAATAGTTGGAGATTATAGCTCTCAGGGAAACAGTAATTGGGAAGAGTGTTCCACAGGCGAGAGGTGCGGAGTATGAAGCTATTGGAGTAGAAGAGACGGCTACATTTAAAAGTTTCTACAGTGTAAGGGTGAGAGCGGGATGCCAGCCTCGTAGGGCGCTTGAATTTATGGAGTCTGGGAACCAGTGAAAGCAGCTCATCGGAGCAATTACCATGAAAGTATTTGTAGAAAAGACAGAGAGAGGCGACGGCGCGTCTGTGAGAGAGTGACTGCAAACAAGACGCTAGATCAGGGCCAATTAGATTACATATCCGTCTCTGGATCTTGTCAAGAACTCCGAAGTAAGCAGAAGGTGCTCCAGCCCATATATGGCTGCAATACTCCATGCAAGGGCGAATGGTTGTTTTGTATAGTTGAAGTATCGATTCAGGGGAGAAAAATTTCCTGGCGCGGCACAGAGAGCCAACTTTCCTCGCGGTGGAAGAAGCAATTGACTCAATGTATTTGTTCCATCTCAGGTCAGCAGTCAGCGTGAGACCGAGCAGACGCAGGGAGTTGTTCTCAAGAAGTTGACTATCAGACATTCTAATGGGGGACAGGGAAGGATCTCTATGGTGATTAATAGAGAGTAGTTTAGTTTTTGAGGCGTTAAAGTTGACCAGCCAATTCTTGCCCCAATTAACAACCGATTGGAGGTCCATTTCAAGTTTGAATTTGCAGAGCTACTGTATAGATATCCACATATATTTTAACCGCCTGAAGATGATCTTAGATGAAGTTGAAAGTACTTAGGGAAATTAAAAATTATTTGAAAGAAAATTTTGGTATTTTTCTTGATTAATTTACTACAACCACCAAGGCATTAATTCGTGGGCTTCAAAGGGTTAAAACTAAAATAAATAGACATAATACGTATAAATTATTTAACCAAACCTGCTTGAATGAAAATATATATATATATATATATATATATATATATATATATATATATATATATATATATATATATTTGGTTGGATTGATGTGAGTTTGTGAACCTAAGTTTCACGCTTTCACGCGATCGTCAGACAAACTGATTATTTTTTTTTAATTTTGGGTTTATGTAGATTGCGTGTATTGGTGTTATTATGGACGGCGTGGGGAGAATCATCGTCGTAATGTCACTCATGCTAACGCAAACATACATGCATGTCCGTACACCCGATGAGGTACGCAGACACACATACACACTCGCTCGTCCGCCGGGTCTAATACAAACATAAACATATGTGGACAGTATGGGATTTGACATATGTATGTATATGGGTGCTGTTGTCTCTATACATACGCATTTGTATGTTGAAATTCAAAGATCGAAAGTGTATCGAAAATTTCTCGTGAATGTCTCGTGAATGTATACATGTCAGCAATCAGAGCATTTTTCCATTTTTTCGCTGAATAATATTTCCTCGCATGCACGTATATAAGTGTGGTGGGGTCTGTATAAGATTATGATAGGTAAAAATTGCTATTATTTCTAATTTTTTAAAGTTTATTTGTTATTATTTTAAAGCTGGTTATTTGCTTGTTTTTGATGACTGTGTATATGTAACTGGTAGATATAAATAATTATATATATATATATATATATATATATATATATATATATATATCATGGAAATTATTAGGAGGATTTAATAATTATATTAAGTAATTCATCGAGTCTGATAGAAATCTCAACAGAATGCAGGAAGCACTGGATGGCCGTTTCGTCCTATATTTGGGACTCATCAGCAGTGCGCATCCACTACCGAGAAATGAAACCCTGACAGTTAGGTTACCAAGGCACCATTCTGTTGAGATTTCTATCCGACTCGATGAATTACTTAATATAATTATTAAATCCTCCTAATCATTTCTACCTGTGTATATCATTGCTTGAACCGGCTTCTAATGCTCTAGGGTGAGCGGCTTGGTGAGAGTAGTCGTGGCTCCAGGAGGAACAGTCCTATGGTTACAGAGAACTCATTAAGAGTTCCACCACGGAATATGTGAGCGAGCGGCGCTTTGTTGAGTCTGATTTGCAATCTTTTCGTCACCGAGACCCAGTGGAACAGTTGGTACGATGGTGTCCCAAATATAGGACGAAACGGCCTTCCAGTGCTTTCTGCATTCTGTTGAGATTTCTATCAGACTCGATGAATTACTTAATATATATGTTTATATACACACACTTTTCACACACACACACACATATATATATATACATAGTCGTCTGAATATTGCATGAAAATCAAGTAACGGCTCGTGTTATCCTTTGTTAAGTGAGTGTTGACGTTGTGAAGCATCTTTTGGTCTGTCTGAATAGTCTAGACGTTGATCACTTTAATTTACTGTGTAGGTAGGCGTTTGTCTTTTGGTCCTTCTAACTTTTTTGTTTCCTTGTCCGGGAGATTTTCTTGTCAGGTGTTAGGCCGTCGAGCACGTTGTCTGTTCCTCGCGTCAACATCATTGATTATCTCCTATTATAAATTAAATTATTAATAAAATATTATCATTTAATTAATAATAAAAAATTAACAAATACTACAATTTAATCAATAATATAACATGGCAACTTCAATATAAACCATGAGAGAAAACTAATTTAATTTCGAGGAAAAATTTAATTTCGAAGACTGGAAGAAAAATCTACGACAATTAGAATGGAAGACGTAAAGAAAAACAAATATTCGTGAAGATGCGCTTGTAAAAGAACGGTAAATTCATGAATGCACAGGGGTACAAAAATGTGGAACAAATTGAAAAAAAAAATGGAAATATTTAAAAAAAAAAACCCTTGAAGAATAAATTACCAAGA